ATTTTTATTTCATGGGGAATCTTGCACTTCCTATGATCACTCAGGTTCTTCACTGAGTGTCCTCTCCTGGCCCCTCTTTTCTGGCTCATCTCGTTGAATTTTTATTCCCAGTGAATTTTTTCCTCTTTGCTACTTATTTCTCAGCCCTCAGATCTCATTAAATTTTCTTAGCTGTTTGGTTTTGAATTTATTCCTGCTCAGAGTGAAGCTCTCTGCACTCACACATGATTCAGTGGTAACTTAGAAGGAATTCTGCAGTTCACAGGCAATCTAGTTAAGGATGGTTTACCAGAATTATTCTGGAGCAAAATTCCCTCTGTGGATTAAAAAAAAAAAAAAAATTATAAGAAGATGCTGAATAAAACAGAGAAAATAGAAAATAGAAAAAAAATCTTTTTTTCTAATCAGCCATTTTGCTGATTCTAACCACCTCCTTATACAAATCCACTTACCTGGTTTCTCTTGGGATTTTGCTTTAATTTATTTCTCTTCATATGAAATTTAAAATGTTGGTGGACCTCAAATGTTTTCCCCCTTTGACATGCTTTTAAAAACCTTGTGAATCTGCTGTCATTCCTTTATACTATTTTATACTAATTTCCATCATTTTTCTTGTAAATCCAATTAAGGTGGAAAATCTCCCTTTTCAGTTGTCACTCGTAGCTCCATAGATGGTGTAGAGTCAGATGAACAAAAGGATTTTTTTCCAAACAGTGCTGCATGGAATATTTTACACTCTCCCAGGACAGTTGAAAAAGAAAATCTTTTATCATGTTTATCATCTGCTGGAATCATCTAGGAAGTCAGAATTTGTGAAACTGGCAAATATCAGTGAGGCCAACTCTGGTTTGACTGTGGCTTGTGGGACAATTTTAAAAATTTTGATGTAAATCCTGCCCAAATTAGTGGTCCCTGGGTGTGTTGACTCAGGCAGCAGAGCTGCCAGGCAGGGGTATGATAATTATATTTCTGTATTTGTGCCAATATGTCCTCCTGGATAAAAATGACTCTTTTCCCTCTCACATCACTTGGTGAAATTTTGGTTCCTGAGCAGTTTCTCCACACAGGAGTGTAGTGCAGTGTGGGCACAGTTGGGGGTTTCACTCTGGCTCTCCATGGTCATGGTTTCAAATAAACAAACAAACAAACAAACAAACAAATAAATAATATAAATGACACCAGGATTAAAACACTCCATGAAAACCAGATGAGCAGAGCATGGGGGCAGGTCTGATTTTCCATTAACACTTTAATAGTGAGTTCTGGCAAATCTCTGGCAATTGCTGCATTGATATTCCCCGTGTTTACAGCCCAGTGGAGCCATAGAGGATTTTGGGGACAGGGATTGACAAACCAGTAATTTCCTGAAGCATCAAGATAAATTTTATCCCATTTATAAAATGCAGTTGTTTCATTGCAGTGCAAACAAGCTCAAACACTGCAGATTGCAGGGAAGCATTCCATCAGCTGCCTGGCCTCCAGGTGATATTTTGTTCAGGAACTCTGGTTGTGTGTTTTCAGCCTCCAGGGGATATTTTGTTCAGGAACTCTGGTTGTGTGTTTTCAGCCTCCAGGTGATATTTTGTTCAGGAATTCTGGTTATGTGTTTTCAGCAAGAACCAAGCAAAGCAGGAAGGTTCTCTGCCTCATGCTGCTGTGAGGAATGTGTGAAGCTCAGGATGGTTTGTTCTGTAGGAGCTTTGGCCAGAGAAATCTGATTTGGGGCTTGGAGATTTCCATGGGTTGGGCTCAGTTCAGTGCATGGAAATCTTCCTTCTTATTCTCTACAGGGTTATCCTGAATTTCTAATTCTCACAGGGCAGATCCCCCTCACCCTGCAGTATGATCTGCCTGGAGTGTTCAGAAAAACACCTTTTTGTTCAGGACAAGGAGTTCAACAGTCCCAGGGACAAATTGGAACACAGGCACAAATTTGTGCTAATAAGATATTTAGGTGTGAAAAGATGAAACTGAAATCTAGCTCAGATCTCAAAATCTTTATGGTGCCTCACTCAGGAAATCATTTCATAGGTACCTCAATATCTGTATATCAACCCTGAGTGACATCAAAGCTTCTTTAAGGTTTTGGTATTTAAAGTTCCAGTACTTGGTACTCAACTTATTTCCTATTCTTTGATACATAAAGCTTGTGGCAGTCAATAAAATATCCATTCTCAGGATCTTTGGTTCCAAGGTACTTTCAGTAAAGAACCCAAGTATACTTCAGAGTTGCATTTCCACCTACTTGAATGTCTAAATAGCATTGTAAATTTTTCTTTTGACCACATTGTAAGAGAACTTGGTGCAAAAACTCGCCTGCCAGAAATTTTTATTTTGTTTCCAACTGCTTAAACATTGGCATGGCTCTGACAAGGGTTTAAAAAAAGCATTTTGAGCATTGGGATGCAAATTAACATACTAAGCAATTAAAGTCAATTAAAACAGGATGTGGTGTAATTAGAAACAGTTGTGTTCACATTGATATTCAGAGAGGTTCGATGTGTTGAAAGAAAAGAAAACAATTCTGGAAACTTTTAATGCCCGACAGATGTGATGATGATGCTAATAATGGCACTGGTTCCTAAATCCCCCATCCTGCCTCACCTCGGGAGCTCCTGGGGAGGGGCGGAAAATGGGAATGAGTGGCTGTGTCCCTGCACAGTGCACTCACCTGTTGAGGTGAAAGAGGAGCTTTCCAGCCTCGGGAGGTGTGTGATCAATTCTCAGCAGTGTCAGTGGGGATCTTTCCACCTTTGCCAGCCCTGCTCCCTTGGTTTTCCTCTCACTGAGGTTCTGGATCTCTGCATTGGTGTTGATTGCTAGAAATACTGAGCTTTATTTTTATCCCCTTTCTGCGTGGCAGCCAGAGAGCAGGGAGAGCCCTTGTTCCTCTAAAGCTGGGGCAGAGCTGCCCTGATGGCCAAAAAATTCATTAGAGGTTGTGGTTGCAGCCCTTGCAGCTGTGGGATTGCACAGATGCTGTACCTGGCCTCTGCTGGCTGCAGGAATGAATGGGTTTGGCTTTTCCTTGATGCAGATGAGAGAGGAAATCCTCCCAAAACAAGGTGGGGAGGAATCTGCCTCTGCCAGATCACAGTGTTTGCTCAGGCAGAGCGTTCCAGGCACTGTGGGATGTGCAGAATGCCGTGGATGTGCTGCACAGCAGTGCAGGGAAGGAAGGAAATGCAAGGAAATACTACAGATATTCAGGTGCAAGGCCTTCACTGCTGATTACCCTCTGTTCAATGCAACTTTTGATTTAAAACAAGGAGGAAAAAAATTGCTGGCACAGAAGTAAATAAATGAAAACCATTAGCTGGCTACTTCATCCTTTCCAGCTAATTTAATGCTCAGGGCAGGACCGTGTCCATCCCATGTGTTTATTTTTTAATTCTCATTAGTTGCTGATCATTTTTATATTTGAAACCCAAATGTGGAAAGACAAGGTCTATTTCAACTCAGCCAGTCACGGCAGTTTGCATTCCCACTGACAGTCAACAAATGTAACCATTGGGATAAGACTTCCCATTTTGCATTGTACTGACCTAGGAATTCATCAGCTCAGGCTTCTGGGACCTATAGGTCCCAAACAGAATGGTGATCTCCATTTTCTGGAAAATTCAAGTTCCTCCATCTTTGAGGGTACCTGATGAGGCATATGAGATCATTTAATGTTTGGGGTTAAATAGTCTGAAAATCCAATTTCAGCTCATTAATTAAAAAAACATGTCTGAGAATCTTTTCACAGGTCTGTTCTTTGATGTATCCCTTTCATTTACATAGGAGACAGATATTGGACTCCTGAGGTTAAAATGCATATTTTTTGAGGTTGTATTTTTCACCAAATGACTTTTTCCATTCTTGCAGCTTAACTAATTTTTACTGGTGCAAGACAGGTGTAAGAGTAACATCTCACAGGTGGAAATGGCCATCAGCAATTAAGGAGAGTTAAATTTGTACAGAGGTGGTTGTCACATGAAGAAAATATTGATAGTGCCATGGAATTTATCATTTAATCCTTCTCTGAGTTTGAGTAGCCATGTGCTGCTCTCAGGGTTGGGATTGTGAAACAGGACCACTTCTGCTCCATTTTTCCTTTGGAAAATGTGACTTCTTGCAGGTTTCCTGTTGCTCCCCGTGCAGAAAACAAACTGATTTCTGGGAGAAAAAAAAGTGTGGCCATGTATGTGAAAACAGAAATTGCTGGGGTTCTTTTGAAGGTTCTTTATAAGATAAAGGCTCTCTATCAAATCCCAAGGAAATATGGATAAAATTTAACCTTTGGGCTTGATGAAATGCTTATTCCTGAAACCCAGACATGCAGGCAGAGCAGTCTGAAGAGAAATCAGTTTAGTAATCCCGGGGTGACTGAGAATCCATTGCTTGTATTGTTATAATATATAAAATTAATTCCTTGCTATCATGAGTACCTGTGTTTGGAAATCATACACTTAGAGAGAACTTCCCAATCTCTATAAAAACGTGCTGACCTCTCCCCCAAAACCTCCAGAGTTGAGAATATGGTTGGATGTCGTTGTAGAGGTGGGTGTGACAATCAAACAGACACACTACATTTCAGAAGGCTAATTTCTGTTTGTCACAGCAGCACGCTGTCTTTTATACACTCTGCAAACTTTACACTTTGTCCATTGGTTACACCAGATCAACACAACGTTCATTGGTGTAAAACCCATCTCCACTTCTGCTTCTCACAAGACTTTGCTAAAAATACATTTCCCAGCTGGAGGTTTTCTTCTGCTTATCTGCTTCTTCTCTTCTTGATCTCCAAGCCGACGTCCTTGGTAGAATACCTTTCAGAAATGACCCTTATTCATTAACCCTCTCTGGCTCAGGCCAGCTGTTAGCCTCTCCACAGCTGGAGGACAAAAATCCCCTGCACAAAGGCATGCAATGCACTTTACCTGCCGAGGATGTGAAATCAAGGTGTTTTGGCTGCAGCTGGAAGAAAATCCCTTTGTGCTGTCTGTTTTCTCCCGCAGGTTGTGTATGTGACAGCCACGTTCCCCTACATCATGCTGATGATCCTCCTGATCCGGGGCGTGACGTTACCCGGCGCTTCCGAGGGCATCAAGTTCTACCTTTACCCCGACATCTCCCGCCTCTCTGACCCACAGGTAGGACCTGGGGCTGCTTTGGGAAAAACGGCAAGAGCTCCTTGCCCTGGAAACCTGAACACAGCAGACTGCAGGGGAGCTGCTCCTCATTGCAGATGTGGGATTGGGGATAGGGCTGTGAAGCCATGTTGTGTGTTGGGACAGATCATTTTTTTAATTGGGAAGTACCTTGGTTGATAAATGAGGATTTTCAGAGCCAGTTGCTGTTGGTGCTTCTGCCACTGATGGACAAGAGCATTGCCACCAGTTCGATGGGGACAAATTTAACTGGTATTTGGCCAATTTTTGGTTCTTTGCTCCCTCCAAAGCTAAATCTCATGCAGAATCAACAGAGAAATTGCCCATTCAGATAATTGCTGTCTTTATAGCAGAATATGAACTGAGGAGGAATGAAGTGCTCAAACCAGGAAATCTGCCTGTTTTGTTGTTTCCAATGTAAAGTAGAACATGGAAATAATGGATTAAGTTGTTTTTTTATTATTATTTTGAGTGACAGAGGATTGCAATAAAACAGTATTGTCCATCATCTGTGTGATATTGAAGGGGGAAATGACAAAATCTCTATAGAACCTGACAGGTTGCAGACAGCATTTTACTGATCTGCTTTGGCACTGTAAAAGACATTACACAGTGTTTCTCCTGAGGCTATTACATGATTAAATGGATCCTGAGAAGGATGCAGAAAGGAATTTGGGAATATTTGTCAAAATGAATTTTTTTAATCTGCTTACTAAAGAGGTGTCAGAGCATATTTTTTTTTTTAATCTCTGCTTATTTTAAACATGTATTTTGATCTTTTTGTTCATGTATTTTGATACAAAGGACAATACAGGGACTCCTTCAGGTAATTTTCTTGGGGCACCTGAAATACCTGTAAATGTTTGCTTTAAACAAGTAATATTTCTACAGGAAAAAAAACCAAAACACCAAAAAACCAACCTACCGAACAAACAAACAAAATCAAAAAAGAACAAAAAATATTTTTGTACAAGATTGAAAATTTTAGATGAAAATTAACAATGTTCGTGCTATGTGTCAGCACGGGTGGGAAGTGAAAGAGCTGTGGAGTGGTGCCAGTGCTGGCTGCAGAATTCCAGCTGCACCTTCAGCAGAGGTGGCCTCAGGTCACCTGAGAAATGAGCCCTGGGACAGAGGGAACACCAGCATTCTCTGGCACACTCCCAGGTATTTGTCTGCACCTTCCAGCAGGCTCAGAGTGCAGTGAATCCAGCAATCCAGGCTGGCTCCAGGTGCCAGGACACTGCTGTGGTTGTGGGTGGCATCCCTTTGTTCAGCCCAGTCTGAGCTGCAGTCTGTGCCCCCGGTGTGGGGTGGAGCTGCAGGTGCCCCTGCCTTCCCCAGCCCTGCTCTGGCTGCCCTGCTCCTGTGCCACTCCCTGGGCTCTGCCCCCCTTGCAGAGTCTGTGTGGATTTATGGAATGGTTGGGGTTGGGAGGGACCCTACAGATCACCCAGTGCCACCCCTGCCATGGCAGGGACACCTCCCACTGTCCCAGGCTGCTCCAGCCCCAGTGTCCAGCCTGGCCTTGGGCACTGCCAGGGATCCAGGGGCAGCCACAGCTGCTCTGGGCACCCTGTGCCAGCCCTGCCCACCCTGCCAGGGAACAATTCCTGCCCAATATCCCACCCATCCCTGCCCTCTGGCAATGTGGAGCCATTTCCTTTTGTCCTGTCCCTCCATCCCTTGGAAAGAGCCTCTCTGGATTTTCCCTGTAACCTCTTCAGGCCCTGCAGGGCCACAATTCAGTGACCCCAAAGCTTCTTCTCTCCAGGCTGAACAATCCCAATTCTCCCACCCTTTCCCCCCAGGAGAACTGAACTCCTTGCACGAACAGGGCTCAGTCCTGCTCTTTAAGAACTGGTTCCTTCCCTTGCCCACTGCTTTTCCAGAGGCTCTTAACAGGATTTTGCCCTGCCTGTGGATTTCCCACGTGCCACTGACACCCTTGCTGTGTTTGCCATTGAGGGAGGGCACGCCAGCTTAAGGGACATTATTGCCAGCTTAAAAGACATTATTGCCAGCTTTAGGGACATTATTGGCAGCTCCAAGGAGGGTTTATATGCCTATTTACTATCGTGGTGCCACTTGTAAAGAAATTATCGTTGCCAAGACAATTTGCAGAGCCCATGGGTTGGTGGGAGCAGCCTGGGAAGCACAAAGTGCTGGAGGCACTGGGGTGTGTCTGTCTGTCCCACACGTGTGGGGCTGGAATTCCTTTTGGGAATGCTTTAAAGAGCCAAATACTCCTCAGGCTCAGGGAGACTTTCACTGACGTGTTCTTGTCCTTCAGTTGTATTTTAAACACCTTTTAGTAGAAAGAAGCTGAAATAAAATGTGTAAAATGTGTCATAACAAACAGTGGTGGTGAACACCAATGCAGGTAATTGAATTGTAGTATTCATTGGATTTAGAGAATTATTTTTGTGTTGAAAAAAAATGTCATTCCTCCAAAACTGAAATATGTTGTTGGGAAAAATTAATTCAATACTTGAAGAAAGCTTTCAGGCTAATGGGTGCAATCTCTAGTCACTTCTGAGGAAAGAGAGGAAGCTTAGTTCTCCAGGCTAGAATTTGACATAACTGGTTTTATTTTACAAATAGCCTTGGGTTCAGCTTTAGTGCGACTTATAGTGGTAATAAGATGGATATAAAGGCATTCTCCATTTTATGGAAATGTAGAATTTAATGTTCAAACCCACAAATATTAGGATAACCTCCCCCACCCCATAAACCTCTTGTCCATTGGTTCAAGTCAAATTGTTCTTGTCAAATTGGCTCCTTTTTGCCAAGGAGCACAACTGAAACTACCTGGAGATTTGTGCTTCCAGTTTCCATGTTTACTCATTTCAGTGGATTTATCCCTAATGCCAAAGCATAAATCATGTGTACCAGCAGAATTTGTTTCCTCTTCAGTTGCAGGCCTGTTTCAGTTATATTTCAGGGAGGGTGCTGGGTCTGCATTAGGAGAGAGGTATTTTAGCCCCACAGCCAGCCACGTTTACTGGGGATTAAATAAATCAAGTTTCTCTTCAAGGCTCACTTCAGTTTGAAGTTCTGGACTCTTTTGTCTTTGTGCAATTTGCATTCCATGGTGGGTTAGAGCTTTGTGAGCAGCTATTCATCTTTGCAGCTCCCCTCAGCTTCCAAGGGCAGTGGTCTCCATTTCATTTTTATATTCTATCTCTCCAGCAGACCCAATCCTCTCACTCTGAAAATGCCATTTTTTGTCCTGAGCATGGGTAGAGCTCATAGCAATCACTTTGTTTTGCATCAGTGGAAGCTGGAACAGTCTGGAGCTCTATTTAAGCCTCAGAAGTGTTTTCCTTCATCAACAAAAAGGTCTCAATAATCTTCATGCTCAAATTGGCTTGAAATATATCCCTGTGCCCTAATCTGGGAGATACAGGTGCTGTTTATAGCTTAAATAAGGGATCTTTGCTGAGTTATAACTCCCACAAAAGCAGTGCTTCAGCAAGTTAATGGGATTGTTATGGGGTTTGTGTGCAAGCCTGACTCAGAATATGGTTCTGCTTGTCCCTGGACAGATTTAAGGCACTCAATATGTGATTGTTACTTGTGTGTGGCGCTCACTGAGCCTTTCTGGGCAAAACATTTGGCTCTTTGTAAGAGGATTTTGCAAACATTCATGCCTGGAAGAAGTTTAGGGAGTAGCAGATGTAGCAGTTTGATGGGTCAGGAAGTAGCAGTGTGGATAATCTTATGGAAAATCACAGCAATTTAACCCCTGCTGTAACAGCAGCTTGTTAAAACGGGGAGGAAAATAAGGATAAAGCTTTCTTGTTTGCTGCGTGTTTGTATGCTAAAAATTGGTCAAGTTGCTGGTTTTTTGGGGGTTTTTTTTTTGGTTTTTAATTTTAAAGCTGTGAATTGTTTTAATGAACATATGCACAAGAGCATCTATCAACACAGCCACAATTGCACACTCCCCTGAACAGCTGATTTCCAAAATCTCGGACAAATTTCCATTTCTTTGTGGAAATAACACAGGTTGTACCTCATCTCTGATAAACTCTGATGGGAATGTTGAGCATGAGGAAAAAAGCCAAATTAATCAGGTACAGGCAAAGCAGAGCCATGACAGGTAAATTGGTTTTAGGTTTCTCAGCTCTTTTGTTTGCAATGGGAAAATGTTAACATTGCAATAAGATTTGTGGTGGCAGAAACGTTTCTGCAATTCTTTGGGAGCTCAGCAGGAGAATTCACTTTTAGGCAGCTGTGATGTGCAGGTGACAACTGGGAAATGGCTTCCAGAAGGATTTTTCCCATAAATTTCCTTGGCATTGAGGTTTGGCTGATTGGCTTGAAGCCCACTGGATTTTCCTTGTTGAAAATGGGTACCAACACATGAGTGCACAGCAATCACAGCAATGAGCATCAGCTTAACCTGCAAACCCACTTACTCTGGCTAGATTTATACTTCTAACATCTCTCTCTCCCTTACATTGTCCTCTGGATCAAAAAATGCTTTTTCCTGTGTGGCATTTAGGCTGTTTTCATGTGTGGCTGTAGAGAAAAAGAGAATGTTAGAACATCTCTTTCAGAGAAAACACTTTTTTCTGGTAGAAAGTCACTCTAAAATAAATGCACATATTGGTTTTATCCCCCTGGAAATTGTAATTTTCCATTACATTTCCTTAGTTTTTGTATTAATGTGAGTTTATAGTGGTGGGTTTTCCCTCCTTAACATGATATAATCTGTTTCAGCACATAAATAACAATATTCTTTTAAAAAGATGCTGCTCACCCAAACTGCAAACAATTGCTTTCCAATTAGTCTAATTACAATATACATACAAGTGAGAGAAGTTTGGGAATACTGAATCCGTGTGGAGGTGATATTTCCTTAAATCCTGATCTGAAAACCCAAACTGCAGAAGCATTTGGGAATGTCTCTTCCCTTAACTTTTTGATTTCCAAGACTTAGGGAGGCTGAGTTGCTCTAGGAAGAGGAAATAATG